ATTTTTCGTGTTTTTATCGAAAAAGAGATATGCATTAATTGTAATTTATAAATCCATATATCTCCGTCGCGGAGATATAACTTGGTTATATCCGTAACGGATATAACTTGGTTGCTACGAAAGGTTTTTTTTTATCAATTTTACAAGTTGCGAATCTACATAACGGCATAGTTTAAATTCAAATAGTTTAGATTGAATTGAATAATTTATATAAAGTAGTAGAAACTTAATTATACGATTCTTACGAGTAAATATTAAAGCGTCTGTGAAAAATAAATTTATATGAATTTATTCATGTATTTGTATGTATGTAATTGTATTTATTCATTAATATACAATAAAAACAATTTTGCTGAATCTAAAAATTTTAGCTAAATGAAGAAAAAATAATTTTATTGAATTATCAAAATAATCAAAAATCTTCATATAACCGTCAACACTGAAAAGTTCTGACTTTCTAATAACCAATTTGAGCATCCTACATAATTATTTTGATAGTCCAACAAAAATTATTTTCGAATCTGTATAATGTAGCTAAATTTTCAAATACTTTAGCAAAATTGTTTTTTCTATTTAATAATTAACATCCTTTTGATTAATTAGCTGTAATGTTACCAATATTTTTAACACTCAAAATGAGTGTTATTTGTTAAACAATGTAACCAATTAATTGACCAGTATTAGTATTAAATTTTTAATAAAGAATTGACCATATCGTTCGAAGTCATCTTTAAGTAGAGATTCACGCTCCTACTCTTTTAAAAAGTAATTTTTTTAAGCTCGAGAATTCAAATAGAATTGACAATGTAGGATTGACTTTAATCTCAGTTCAATATACGCTTTATCTATTTCTAATTCTAATTTTAAAAAATAAACATTAAGTTAACCTGAGATTAAAGATAATCTTATTATCATTATAAGATTATCTTTAATCTTGGTTTAACTTAATGTTTATTTCCTTTTTTTAATTAATATTGGAAACAAATTGAGTAAATTGAACTAAGATTAAAATTAATCCATTAATGGAACCAGGTAATTAGTAATTATTAGTATTTATTTTGTTTATTGCTTATTAATAATTACATTGGAGCTGTTTGACATTATTTTGACGTCATGAATTTAATTTACGTCGAAATTATAACATCGATATTATGAAACTGGCCAATCACAGTCATTCCATTCTTTAGAAAAATAGCTATGATTGGCCAATTTCATCGATATGTTATGCATCGGCGTAAATTAAGGCAAAAATTATAGTTATAAATACAGAAATGCTCGTCGCATTTCCAGTGGATTGCCAATCGTTAATACTCACGATAGCAATATCGCATTCTCCATTCTTCCGCTAGAAGTAATCGATTAAAATCAGTGCAATGTCCGAACGTCGATCATACGCGTCGGACATTATTATTACAATCGAACGCGCGTGCGGACAGGCGAATAGCAGTGAAGTTCGTCGCAGTTCGCCGATGAAATTGCGAGTGGCGATTGTGGCGCGCAACAGCGGAAGTGACGTTACGCGCGGCGCAATATGGCGGACGCTGGGCAACGTAAACAGTACGGCGACCACGGCAGCTCGTATGTGGGTGAGTATTTTGTCTATCTTTTCATCGTTTTCGCTAAGCATGAGGGGATGCCGGCGAGACGTCCATCGTTCGCACATTATTGCCGAAATCGCGAGCCCACGATAGTCTCTAGTCTCTGATGTGAGCCAGCTGTGCGCGAGTGACCGTGCCGCGGTGTGTCATGCTTTTTCATCGCTTGACACTTCTCTCGCGTCGCTTTCTTTCCCAACTCCCGAATCCCATCTGCACTTCTCCGTGCCCGTGGAATTTCTGTTTGAGCTTACGAGCGACAGAAACGTGTAAATTCGCAAATCACCGTGATGAAAGGCAGAACGAGAAAGAGGACGAGAGAGAGAGAGAGAGAGAGAGAGACAGACAGACAGACAGAGAGAAAAAGAGAGAAAGAGAAGGAAAAGGAGTGACGTCGCGCGAATTCCTTTGACGAAAGACGAAACGTGTGTGAGCTACGCGTTCGCGCCTCCATCGATTGTGCTTAAACTAATGACAATGTCAACAGATGATGTCGAGGTTGCAGGGCTCAAGAGTGTCGAGAGCATGATCGACGCGGCCGTGGAGGTTATAACATGCTCGCATAATAGGACACGTAACAGAGAGACCACGTCGACGCGAGTGCCTATAAATATCGTGCTTACGCGCACGCTGGAGCCCTGACGGATGAGGAGAGATTTCTGTCAATAAAAAAAGGAGGATGACGATGCGTGGTCTTCGAAGAGTGCGTTCTCGTAGGTGCCGCCCGCTTGCGGCGAAAGTGTGACAGCTCCGTACCCGCTGCGTATATTCGCGCGACCTTGCGTTTCGATTAGTCAGCAAGGTTGAGAATTGTTGAACGAGTTCGTCTTTGAGTAATCCCAGACATAAATGTTTAAAAGACGTCATAGGTTGGTATTCATAGTTGATTCTTATATTTGAGACTGTCTTAAGTACAGTCTTAAGATGTAAACCAATCAGAGGGATATAGCATCTTAAGACATTATTTAAGACAGTTTTAAAATAAGAAGGTATGGATTATGGAATTATTCAAAATAGATTCAGATCGGAATTAATTATCTATTTCCTATATTTCTATTATATTTTCTACTCTTTAAAATTGTTTGGAGTATAGAATTTTACTCTGAAGAGTAAACGTTTATTCTTAAAGATTGAAAATTAAGCTACTTTTTCAAGACTGACTCAGTTTTGACTCTTTAGAGTGAAATTCCACTCCAGAGAACGTAGAGAGTAAAGAAAATGAAATAATTCCGATTGAAATCCATTCTGAACAAGTCCATACGTGCCTTGAAAGGCTCATCTTTTGGAACATACATATTTAAGAGACATAAAAACGCCTTTTAAACGTTATCTGGGATTCGTCAAGCAGATTAACTCGCGATACATAATCATAGTTAGAGACTGCCCTAGGAATGATGTATAATATTAACTTGGTAGGTTTCCGTCAAGTCTCATGCGAGATCTGCAATAGGAAATGTAATGGTCGTAGAGTTTTAAGTCATAAAAAATTAACCAATTATTGGCTGTGTTTCATTCTTTACTTCGTACTTATACTGAAAATCTACGTTATATATAGATTTTCCGTATTGTCAGTGAATAATGGAATGCAGTTATAATCGAATATGAGGAGAATAATCGACTGCAATTGATTAATTCTTACAACTACAATCACAGCTACGCTTATACAATTATAGAATGGGCTTAGGACTGATATTTCATATATCGTACGATAAAATTTTCCAAACCTGTTGATTGATTGCAAGACAAACAGGTTTTCGGGTTTATAGTCAATTTCTTTCTGTTCTATAGCCAATCAACAACCTTAAAAACTTTGTCGTGTGTGGTATAAAAAATATCAACTTAATGTAAGTTGTTGCACAGTGTAGATGACATAATAGGCCTATTCTTTTTGGCTGAATTTTTGCATCAGTTCATCTTTCTTTCTTCCTGGAGAGAAAAGGAAAAGCTTAATACTGATGTAATAACATTCCAACTGTATACAACAATCTTGTCGAG